GGCTGGTCCCACTCAACTGCATGTCATACCCAAACCTGGAATTATATGGCATGGAATCCTGTTTCCAATGTCTGGCAACATTCATCTCATAATCACAAATATAAAATGGTCAGTGAACCACTGCAGAGTCAAATTTAATTTCAGCAAAATAATTAATGCTTTTAATAAGTCTGTAGTTCTCTGCCCATGAATTAACTGAATGAAATATTATTTGATCAGTGTTCACCAGCGTCTGATTGTTGCACAGTGCTTTAGAGGCATCTTCATGTTGAAGGAAGCCAGATATGGTGGCATATTGGTAATCTGTAATCGAATAATTGTAAAAGACACTTGTTATACTTCAGCTGGAGGTATTGCATACACTTAGTAGGTACCACGTTATGGGAAAGATGAGAATGCATTGGAGAGAGTGCAGAAGCAATTAACAAGAATGGTTCCAGGAATGAGGAATTTCAGTTAAGAGGATAGATTGAAGAAGTTGGGACTGTTCTCCCTGGAGGGAAGAAATCTGAGAGGAGATTTGATAGAGGTTTTCAAAACCATAAGTGGGCTAGATAGAGTAGACAGGGAGAGCGTGTTCCCGTTCATAAAAGGGTATAGATTCAAAGTGATCTGCCAAAAAAAGCAAAGCTAATGTGAGAAAAAACCTTTTTCACACAACAGGTAGTGAGGCTATGGAATGCACTGCCAGGAAATATGGTGGGTGTTCAAATGAGACATTCAGGAGAGCATTGGATGATTATTTTGATAAGAATAGTGTGCAATAGTATGGGTAAAAGCAGGAGATTGGCACTAGGTAATGGTACTAGATAAGAGCTGGTGGAGACACATTGGGCCAAATGGTCATCATCTGTGCCATAATACTTCAGTGATTCTTCGTAATTTCACCAGGAACTCAGAGGCTAGGCGTGCTCTGGGGACATGTCTTCAAATCCCACCAGCATAGCTGATGGAATTTTAGGTTAAATCAATAAATCTGGCAATGAAAGCTAGTCTTATCCCTCATCTATAATCAATTGTCATCTAGTTCACTAGCATCCTTTAGGAAGGGAAATCTGCAATCTTTACCCATGTGACTCTAGACTCACAGTCATGTGGTTGACTCTAAACTGACATCTGAAAATGGTCTGGCAAGCCACTTGCAAGGGCAGTAAGGGATAGACAAATGCCCACATCCTGTAAAAAGGTGAAGTACAATAAAGAAAGACTGCTGATGGTAGACAGCACAGCAATTTACAAATAAAAGCTGCCCAACCTTCACAGACTCTCTCTTTCACAGTGAGATGTCAGAGACTCCACTTTGAACTGAAAGGACACTGTTGAATTGTATAGTTAACCCTTCAGGTCTGTGACCTTCCATCAGACTGAACATGTTTAGATAGAATTACCCCGAGCTTCAAGACCCCAGCTTCAGACCACTAATGGCTGCTATTGTTCTGCTTCTGGGGCAGCCCACAAATTCCATGTTGCCAGAATGGTCTCCATGCTGATGCATTCCTGAACTAAGTTAGGGCTAGACCAGTCTTTTTACCTCAATAAATTTGGTGATATCTTTTCCCTGTGAACTCTCAAGCCCATTGGCAGGTGTCTTCAGTAGCCTGGTCCCTCCTCAACATATGAAATACCTGCGACACAGTTGTCATGTAACCTCATGCCCAATGCAAGCAGACAGCTGTGGCATCCCATCCCTCTGCCCTTGCAGACTGGCAGCTATGGATTCACCCCTTGGACATACCAACTAGTTGGTATGCTGTCTCCCCATACTCTCCTCATATTCTCCTTTGGTCGCCCCTTCCCTGCCATAGTCGTGTACATGCTTTTCCTACAAGAAAGAAGGGATTATATAAATATCAGCCTGGTCAGCTGATTTTAGAAAGTGCCTGTTATGGTTGAATAGCTGGTAACGTGTGAAAAAATAAAGACTGTAATGGTGATGAAGGGAGGAGGTGCAGTGTATGTGAGACGGAAGAGAAGGAATTGGAGCATAGAATGGTCCAGTGATAATATGAGTGAAGGAAGCTTCAGAGGCAAGTAGTGGAACTAGTGAAGCTGAAGTGGGTGGGGGCATGAGCAGAATGTAACGGGATGCAGGAGATATGATTTTCACTTTGATGAAGCACTGCAAAGAGGACAGGCAAGGAAAGACTCTTATCTGTTTTTTAAGTGTACAAGGCGGGTGGAGATGGCAGTGGTATGCTCCTCCTGTCAGATGTGGGAAATCAGGGAACAGTCTCGTGTCCCCGACAACAACGTCTGCGGGAAGTGTGACCAGCTGCAGCTCCTTGCAGACCGCATGGTTTGATTGGAGAAGCAGCTGTGGTGCATACAGGGGGCAAAGTGAGTGGTAGCCACTGGCTTTAGGGAGTTGGTTACACCTCAGGTCCAGATAAATAGATGGGTGACTGCCAGGAGAGGCAGGCAGGTAGTGCAAGAGTCCTGTGGATATTCCCCTCTCAAACAGGTATACCGTTTTGGATACATTGCGGGTATAGCCTCTCAGGAGGCGGTACAAGATGCAGCCGGGCCTGTGGCACTGCAGCTGGTTCTGTTGTACAGCAGGGTGGGGCAAAGTCCACATGAGCAATAGTAGTAGGAGACCCAGTAGTCAGGGACACAGTGAGGCATTTCTGTGGCCATGAACGAGACTCTAGGGTGGTGCATTGTCTCTGGTGCCAGGGTCCTGGATGTCTCTGAGCGGGTACAGGACATCCTGAAGAGGGAGGGAAGACAGACAGGTCATTGTTCACATTGGCACAAATGATATAAGAGGGAAGAGGTCCTCTGCAAGAATAATTCAGGGTGTTAGGTAGGGACCTAAAAAGCGGAATACCAGAGTACTAATCTCAGGGTTACTACCCGTGTCACAGGCTGGTGAGGCTAGAGTACAGTTGAACATGTGGCTACAGAGCTGGTGTAGAAGGGAGGGCTTTAGATATATGGATCATTGGGATGCCTTCAGGGGAACGTGGGACCTGTGCCAGAAGGACAGGTTGCACCTGAACTGGAGGGGCACCAATATCCTGGGCGGGAGGTTTGCTAGAGCTCTTCAAGAGAGTTTAATCAAGTGTGGCAGGGAAGTGGGAACTGGAACAACAGGCCAATAATTGCAGGGACTCAGGACAAAGGAGAGACTGAGATATGCATAGCGCAGAGTAAGAGCAGGCAGAGGGAAGTCACGGGACTCAGAGGAACTGGAGGTCTGGAGTGCATTTACTTCAGTGCAAGAAGTATAACAGGTATGTCAGATGAACTAAGAGCACGGATTACTGGATGGAATTATGATGTTATTGCCCTCATGGAGACATGGTTAAAGGAGGGGCAGGAACTGAGCTTAACATTCCAGGATATCACTGTTTTAGCTGGGACGGAAAGGGAAACAAAAGGGTTGGGGAGTTGCATTGCTGGTTAGGGCTTACATCACAGCTGCGTTGAGGGAGGATACATCGGAGGAATCTTGCAGTGAGGCATTATGGTTAGAGCTCAGGAATAGGAAGGGTGAAATCACAATGTTGGGAGTTTTCTGTAGATGTCCCAACAGCCCATGTGAGACAGAGGAGCGGATATCATCATAGAATCCCTACAGTGTGAAACACGTCATTCAGCCCAGCAAGTTCACACTGCCCCTCCGAAGAGCATCCCACCCAGACCCATTCCCCTAAGTTCCCATGTCTAATCCACCTAACCTAAACACCCCTGAACCCTATGGGCAATTTAGCAATAACATCATAAACCTAACCTGCACATCTTTCGACTGTGGGAGGAAACCTGAGCTTCCGGAGGAAACCCACGCAGACACGGGGAGAATGTGTAAACTCCACACAGACAGCCACCCGAGGCTGGAATTGAACATGGGTCCCTGGTGCTGTGAGGCAGCTGTGCTAACCATTGAGCCACTGTGTCACCCCGGATACTAGAAGGGCGTGGAAAAAGCAGAGTGGTTGTGGTAGGTGACTTCAACTTTCCTCTTATTGACTAGGACTCCCTTTGAGCCAGGGGCTCAGATGGAGAACAATTTGTTAGATGTGCCCAGGAGGGCTTTTTGAGACAGTATGTTGACAATCCAACTAGAGAGGAGGCCATACTAGATTTGGTATTAGGGAATGAGCCAGAACAGGCGATCGATGTTTCAGTAGGAGAGCATTTTGGGCTTAGTGACCATAACTCCATAAGATTCCGAGTAGTCATGGACAAGGACAAGAGTGGTCCTCAGGTCAGGGTGTTTAATTGGGCAAGGGCCAATTACATCCAAATTAGACAAGAACTGGGGAATGTGGATTGGGAGCAGTTATTTGAGGGCAAATCTACGTCTGGCGTGTGGGAAGCTTTTAAAGACCAGTTGTTTAACATGCTGGGCAGCACGGTGGCACAGTGGTTAGCACAGCTACCTCACAGCACCAGGGACCCATGTTCAATTCCAGCCTCGGGTGGCTGTCTGTGTGGAGTTTACACATTCTCCCCGTGTCTGCGTGGGTTTCCTCCGGGTGCTCAGGTTTCCTCCCACAGTCGAAAGATGTGCAGGTTAGGTGGATTGGCCATGCTAAATTGCCCATAGGGTTCAGGGGTGTGTAGATTAGGTGTGTTTAGGGAGCAGGTGAGGCGATGGATCTGGGTGGGGTGCTCTTCAGAGGGTCGGTGTGGACTTGTTGGACCAAAGGGCCTGTTTCCACACTGTACGGATTCTATGATTCAGACCAGCTTTATATTCCAGATTCTTTACGGAACTCAAATTTCACTATCTGTCATAGTGGGATTTGTGCCCCATATCCCCAGAACATTAGTCTGGGACTCTGCAATATCTAGTCCACTAAAAGCTTGGGAGAAAAATTCCTTGGTACTTCCTAACCATTATTTTACTTTGCTGAATTATCGCTTCTTTTCTGCTGCACTTAGAGGTGTTGATGACCTTCACCATATATTTTGTTACAACGCCTTATATTTACAACAGAGGCTAGTCTGGAATACAGTGACATTTGACTTTGCTGCTATTTCTTCCTGTTTAGGGAAGGCGAGGTAGACAAGGACCTGTTGGAAAAGTGGGACCTCCTGGACCCCCTGTAAGTACACTTTCCTTTCTCCTGTTTCTGTTGGCTTATGACATTTTTCTTTTACTGACACGACTGATAAAAGACATACTTTATGGAAGCAGAGACAACAAGGTGCAGGGCTGGATGAACACAGCAGGCCAAGCAGCATCATAGGAGCAGAGAGGCTGACGTTTCGGGCCTCGACCCTT